GGTGTGCCAACAGCAGATGGTGGAGCTGGCGCTGGTGGCTGAGCTGCTGGTGCTGGCCTGGGCGCCGCTCTCATCTGAGGTGCCCGGCTGTGAAAGAACAAAAAATAGGCAGTTTCCACTTTCAACCAGGTTTGGAAATTGTCAGCTTAAAAATAAACTTGTACATTAAAATAAATATCAAGACTTGCGTTTTAAATGATTAAACATAAATACTATATATACACACAAGAAAACTTTATAGAACACAATTCCCTGCACTATTTCATTACACTTTATCTCTTTAACCTTTTGTTAAGGTTGTAATCACCAAGTATAAACTATTTTTTCCTGCTTTTTGGCAACCATTTCCATGTATTCACACTGCCCACAGTGTGTGCTAGGAAAAAAATAGGAAGAGGGAGAAGGGAGAGCCTGTTGTAGGATCTTGTAATTTAAGTATAGTCTAGGGAGGTCTCCCTGAGCTGGTGACATTTGAATGAAGACCTTCAGATAGTCATCTGGTGAAATAATCTAGTTTAATGCCTTTATTTTACAGACTAAATCACTGAAGCCCACGGACTGGAAGTGACTTGCCTGAACTGTTTTATCAAAATTAATTTCAACTATTTCTCATCTGTAGGACGTTTGGACGCTTTCAACAAATCCCTTATATGTCCCATGCTGCTTTAAAAATCTTCACATATATTATACTCTCTCTATCCATTTTTAGATTGCTTCCTTGGGTGCTCTTCCCCAAATAAGGCCAGGTCAAAAGTTTATGACTTCACTTTATAAAAATGTGGTTACCCATCCGTTGGACAGAAGTGTCTTTTCCTAAGTGAACCGCTTCCCTACACTCCTAGCACACTGTATAATTACAACCCAGTGACGCAATATGGCACTGTGCTAGCTGTCCTGTATTAGTCACTGGAAGACTAGGGTCTGAGACCTGGCTTGCCTACTCACTGGAGGTATGACCTTGGACAAGTCATTTATTTTGAGTCTCCTGTTTCCTAACTTCTGTAAAATAGAAATAATGCCAATCTCTACAGAGTTACCATGAGGTGTCATAAGCAGTACATTTTCCAACTAGAAAACGTCATGTACACGTTGAGGGCCTTAATGGCTGTGTCTCCTATTAGGCTGAGACCCTAAAACGCTCATTGCCTAAGACTAGTGCCCACCGATTATTCACTGAATTGAAATTCGATCACTTTCCCGATATTACCTTTGTTCTACATTTTTTCCCCTTCGACATTTCAGCCTATTTACATTTACAAATGTTCACTTTTTACAACTTGGCTCTTTTAACTTAAAATGAGCTATGAGGCATTTAAGCAATTCACAAGCATTCGAAATTAGAAAATTTGCCACTAACGGAAAATCTAGCCAAAGCCTATTTACGACCAGCTTGCGACGGGCGGGGTACGGCCCACGCCACAGCGGCCTTCAGACGCCCTCGTCCGCAGCCTTCGCCTGCCTCCGCCCGGCCCCGCCAAGGCCCAGCGCGGCCTCCCTACGCGTCACGGCGTCGGCAGGACCCTAAACCCCGCGGTGGCCTCACCTGGCCGGAGGGGCCACACGGGAGGTGCGGCTTCGGCTTCCACGCGGCATTACAACTGCGCTGCGACTCTGCGTCTACAACTGCGAAACTCGGGGAAGACCGCAGCGACTTCTGGAGCAGGAGAGCGGAAAGCAGGAGGCGGGCCGCCTGTGCACGACCAATCACCAAGCAGGCAGAGCCCTTCCGTTTGCTGACGTCTCCGCAGGCCCTGAAGGTCACTGGGAGAACCGCAGGGTTCGGCGGCGTCTAGTTGCACGCGGGTGGCCTCGGGAGCTGCGCTCCGGAGCGCTTTAGAAAACCGGAAGTGCCTGTGGCTGCTGCGCTAACCTTACCGTTCCAGCCTAGCCTGAGTCAGAATTGCTTGTGGGTTTGCTTCTAGGGCACAAGTACGGTTGCTGCTTCCTTCAGACATTTGTATTATTAACGTGGTACGTCAGACCCAACCTTGAGAGTCGGATCTCTGTCGGGACTATCAGTGGACTTTGGGCGAATTACTTAACCTTTCTCGGCGTTGTTATTTAGATAAATATTTTTTTGAGGTAGGGCACGTAATATGAATTGAAAGAAGTTGAATACTTTAGGCGGGAATCGACAGAACACAGTGCGTTTCTTTTGTCCGTGGATCCAATCAACAAAAGTTAGCTTCAGACAGTAATATGCCGTGTACTATACATCTTCAACCCCTGTTTCATGTTATGGACTTTGTGCCCATAATTGGGATAGTATTCACTGCTAAACAAAAAATGTCCTGAATAATCTACAAGTGCCAGCTCTCTAGGGAGGGGAGACACAAACGCCTATGTAACTCAGGTGATGGTGATAATGAAGCAAAAGCAGGATACGATTTACTTTGAAGAGGACAGACTTCTTTGAAGAGGCAACATTTGAACAGAGTCCTTGAAGTGGGGAAGCAAGCCATGTTATCAAGGGTAAGAGCACTCCAGGCAGAGGGAACGGCAATTGCAAAGGTTCCAAGGGTCTGTACTTTACGGTGGGTGGGAAATGCTTTTAACAATAACATTTTAGAGCCTCTGCAATAAGGGAAAAGTTGACTAGTGGCATTTCATGGGAAAGTCCTTGAGGCTGGGATGAGATTTGTGGAGGCGAGAAAGCTGAGGTGGAACCTCCATTTCTACTGGATGTCCATCAGAAATTTCCCGTTCTGATGGAGGTAGTGGAGTTTAACACAACCTTCCCAGCAACAGGATGTTTGTGGAAGCGAGGGGGTAAATGCAAAGCCTTTTCATGAAAAACAAAGTTTTATTTTCATGGGACTTCCTAAAGAAATTAAAGCTTTCTAAATAGTAAGGCTTTGTATTTGCCTTTGGATATTTCATATGCAGAAACAGAGAAAAGGGACCTAAAAAAGGATGCCCTGGCACAAAAAGTTAACAGGGAGAACTTTGGATAATCAAAAAACAGGCATCCAGTCAAGAACAGACAATCTTAATTTCTTGACTACCATTAATTTGTACAAGGTTATTTTATGATAGTAAAACACTGGAAACAACCTAATATCCTGTCAGAATTCTAGTTATAAAAACTGTGGCACAGCCCTTACTGTTGTGGCTCAGTGGATTGAGCGCCAGCCTGCAAATCAAAGGGTCTCCAGTTCAATTCCCATTCAGGGCACATGGCTGGGTTGTGGGCCAGGTCCCCAAGGGGGCACGCAAGAGGCAACCACACATTGATGTTTCTCTCCTTTCCTGTTTAAAAAAAAAAAAATCTTCAAAAAACATTATGGCACATTCATACAATATATGTCTATAAAAAAGAATAAGGAAACTTCCCTATCAATATGATTTCCAAGATAAACTACCAGGGGAAAAAAAGCAAGGGGCAGGATTAAGTATAGTATAGTTTGTGTTAAAAAAAAAAAAAAAGACCACATTGCATAAGCATAAAATATCTGCAGCTGGTAATGTTGCTTGCCTTCAGGCAGTAGGACTGGGTAGCTGTGGCACGGTGGTGGGACTTTTACTGTTAACATTTTCTATCTTTTGAATTTTGAATCAATGTATTTTCTGTATTCAAAAAACAAAAACATGCAAAAAGTTAATTAAAACTAGTTTAAAAAAGTGGCAATTGAAAATAAATACCAAAATTCTGCTACATATCACTTGTAGTTTGCTGGAGAGATGTGCTGAAGTACATATACTCTTTAGTAAAATTTATGTAACAACTTCTCATTCCATAGTGCTTTCAATCACTCCCAACAAATTCTCTTATGCTTACCATAATTTGAACAAAGAACTCTTATAGATATTATTACAGATATTTGACACAGACATCTGGCTGAATAGGCTCTTGATTGCAGCAAAAATTCTACTCAAATTAAGCAGTAGATAACAGAAGTTTTGAAATTGTGCACTCCCCTCAAAAAATAAAATAGTGCAAACCCTGTTCCAGAAATTTCATGTCTAGGAATGTAAGAAACAGCCGGAAAAAAAAAGAAAAATAGTCATATATGTGAAAAGAAATTAGTTATAAGGATGTTTAGCAAAATATATAGGAAAAAACTGTAAACAACCTAAGTGTTCTATAATATAAAATTAAATAAATTTTACATACATGTAAGATGCTATGCAGCCATTTAAAACGTTGTGAGCCCTGGCTGGTGTGGCTTAGTGGGTTGAGTGCCACCCTGCGAACTAAAGAGTCTCTGGTTCGATTCCCAGTCAGGGCACATGCCTGGGTTGGGGGCCAGGTCCCCTGTAGGGGGCATGTGAGAGGCAACCACACATTGTTGTTTCTCCCTCCCCTCCCTCTAAAAATAAATAACAAAATCTTAAAAAAAAAAAAAAAAAAAAAAAAGGTTGCTTCTTCTAGTAGACAGCCTTTTTCCTAACCAAGGACTCACCACTGGATACAGAGGCCTGACTGGATGCAGAGGCCTGACTGAAGATAAAAAGAAAGCTACTCTGCCATATTCTGCATAATTTTAAAACTAAAACTCAACTCTTATTCTTGGAGTTTGTGGGTAGCTCTGAACCAGAGGATATTGTATACAGTTGAGGAAAACTATGATGCTGGAAAGAGTAAATGCTCGACAAAAGTGTCTGGTATGCCCATCTTTCTAACCAGCTGCGTGATCTCTGGAAAGTTTGTGAGAACTTCGGAGCCTCAAGAATCCTCTATAAAATGGAGATAACAGCGCCTACCTCAAAGGATTGTTGTGGGACCTGCAGTGCACAGAACCTAGGAACTAAGGTCAACAGACACTATTACAATGTAAAATATTCCTTTTTTTGGAAAACAAATATTAAACCTGCACAGTGGTCTATGACACTAGAGTTGAAATCTTGTACAAATTCCTATCTTTGTTCTCCCCCAATTCATCTTTGTGACCTTTTCTTTACACAGAACGCAAATATTTTTAGACTTGAAATGAGTTACCATAGCAGCCAACCCTTCCCCCCGCCCCCCCCCCGCCCCGCCAAGAGTTAAAATGCCACTCTTGCTGCTGCTCTTTTAATTAAAAACCCTAAAAAGGCATAGCCACTTGGATGTTACTTAACAATCAGTAAGGAAGATACTTAAGTAGTTAACTTAAGCGATGTCAGAAACAAATCTGTTGACCAACATGGATTCTCCCCCTTAGGACCACAGTTACAGCTGGAGTCAGACAAAATACTTTTATCAGGTCTTTCGATATCCTGCAGAAAATCAGACAAAAACAAAAATCAATTATTTTCTTTAGCCCGAGCATCAGCACTGGAAGTAAATCCCTCACCTGCATTTTTTAAAAAGATGTTTTCTACGTTTCCTAGCCCCATTCCACCATTCCTACTGCAGTCAGGCGATAACCTGAGGGGCTGAAGGGGTTCACCTATGACTCGCTAACGCGGGACTGCCCCGAAAAAGGGAGACTGCCCGGGTCGAGTCACAGGGGACGAACGAACGTGGCCTGCGGCGCTCATGGGGCTTCCCTGGACCCTGATCAGTCGTAGCCCGTACGCACAAGCGACGCGAGTTCGCGGCCGGGGCAGCAACTTGCGCTGGCGTCGCTTGCGCTGGCCGTTGCGGAGCTTCTGTGTGATTTTGCGCTCGTGGCCACCAGGCACGGTCCAGTTGGTGCGCAGTTCCCGCTCGCGCCGTGTCCGACCCTTGCTGTGCCCGGCTCCGCCAGCCGGGAAGTCGCGCAGGTAGTAGTAATCGAGGCAGTCGTAGAGCTCCTCCTCAGAGCTCACCGGGGGCCACACCACTGGCGGTGGCGGTGGCGTTGGAGGGACCTGAGTAGGGCAGCTGGGAAGGGTTGGGTCCATCGCCCCGCCTGGCCGCCGGGCCAGCGCAGGGCGCGCCTCTAAAGGCCCCTCCCCGAGCTGCCATTGGCTCCGCCTTAGTTGTCAGAGCCTAGGCATGACGTCACAGAGACGGGCTTGTTGCCCAGCCTTAGGTCTTTGCGCTCCATTGGGAGAAACTGTCCCTTACTCCTTCCTGCACCCAGGCCTGTGCACCCCTGATCGCAGAGGGGGCGTTTGGCAAAATCCGACTGAGCATTTCCTTTGTGTTGGTCATATATGTTAAACTAACAGGCACACAGGAAAGACCACGTGAGGACACAGCAAGAATGTGGCCATCTGCAAGCAAGGAGAGAGGCCTCAGGAGAAAGCAACTTTGCTGACATCTTGATCTTAGACTTCAACCTTTACAAGTGTGAGAACAAATTTCTGTTGTTTAAGAAAAAGAAAAGTAAACTATCTGAGTGTCCAAGGGGACTGCTTAAAGAAAATGTGGGCTATGTATTCCTCCGAAGGGAGTTTATCAGCAATAAACATTTTGCTACGCTATTTGATGTCAGGAGAAAGTGCTCAAAAATGATGTAAGTGAAAAATTGTTTTCAGAACAAATGCCTCCAGTATCCCAGGAACGTGTGTTTTTTAAAAAGATCTTATTTATTTATTTTTAGAGAGAGGGGAAGGGAAAGAGAGGGAGAGAAACATGGATGTGTGAGAGCTACATTAATCGATTGCCTCTTGCACACCCCGAAATGGGTACCTGGCCCCCAACCCAAGCCTGTGCCCTGACTGGGAATGGAACCCGAGACACTGTGGTTCTCAGGCTGCCACTCAATCCACTGAGCCACACTTGCCGGGGCCAGAAATGTATTTTTAAAACACATCTGTCTATAAAAGGCTGAAAGGAAATTCATCAAAATGCTGAAAGTATTTCTGACTCGGTAGGATTATATATTAGTTCTTTTTTCTTTCCTCAAGTCTATGTTTTTGAGAGGGAGTAAGAGTTAATTGTATTAAGAGAGTGATTAGAAGGAAAACACCCTGCCCGCTGCAAGGCCCGGAACCTGCACAATTTCGGGTTATCTGCAGGTGCCAATATCCCGGGTGTGGTAATGTCCCAGGTGGGCACAGGTAACCAGGTTCTTGGTGATCGCGGACAAAAAAATTGAACCAAACACACAGAGTTTAGAGCAGAAAGCGGGAGAAAGCAGGTTTATTAAGCCACACAGAACATGGGAACAGGCCAGCTCTGAGCAGTGCAGAGCAGAGAGGAGCAGAGCAGAGAAGAGCAGAGCAGAGCCTAACAGCAGCAGCCCTGAACTGAGAGACTAGGCCTTTTATTCCTCTAAGGTGGGTCTCCCATGATTTCCTTGACTGGCTACTGGGAAGGGGGTCCCACAATGCTAATTTATTATAATGATATTATAATGAAGCAGGGGTCGAGTAGCATCTTCTGCACAGGTGCCTTCCTGATTCACTAGGATTCAATGCTTTTCCAGATGCAGAAACTACCAGTCTTAGAACAGGGTCTCCACCCTTTATCCATGTTTTTTATCTTAGCCCTGGGGCACCTCTGAAGTTTCCTCCTTCCTGACTATCTCCTGCCTCAGTAAACTTGATGATTTGATGTGTTGGCAGCTTGGAGTGAGGGGAGAGAGCCCAGGGCTGCAGTGGTGGGGAGGGTGCTTCAGAAAGCATCAGGGACTAGAGGAGTCTGGTCAGGCACACTGAGCACAGTAAATGCTGAGAGTTATTGGGAAGGAGGCCTTTGTTTTGGTTTGGTTTAACTATATGGACAAAAAAGTAGGAGGTTACTTTCCTAACTGGGCAGGTCAAGGTGGATAGTCATGCCCCAGGCTTACAGCTTTTTAGTAAAAGACTTATCTTTGTTTTAAGCAAGTCTCGTCCATTGTTTCTGTGCATTTGGATTAGTTAACATACCTTTGAATTAAACTGTAACCATCCTAAAGAGAGCACATGAGAAGCAAGAGACCCTTGCTTCTCTTACCTCCATGCAATCTTCCTTAAATTCCCTCCTTAATTTCAAAAGCATAAAAGAATCTTCAAAACTCTCCTTCTCTAAAGCATTTGAAATCTTCCTCCCTGACATATGTCATCAGTTTGTCTCAAATAAACTCATATAAAAATTCTCAAATGACATTGACAATTGCCACCAAATTACAGCCACCCCCTTGGGGATTTTCTTTTTAATAGAGTGAAAATAATTCTCTAATTAAAAAAAAAAAAGAACTTCCCGGGTATTTGATCTCGCTGAGTTTGTCTGTGACCAAATTGCTGATTTGAGTTTTTTCTGCTGCACTATGAAGCCTCATACCTGGTGGGGCGTGGCCTACATACCTCACTCTGAGGGCAATTTTGGAACTCTGAGGGTTCCTTAAATGAACAGGTCCCAGGAGAATGCTTTTAATTAAACGCCTGAGGGGATTTTCTCTTATATCCACATGTCTTCTTTCCACTGCTAGGAAAAAGAGAAACTAATATTTATCCCTAAGTAACTCTCCCATACATTATCTCTTTAAAAAAATCTCTTTAGAAGTTGTCCTTGTGTAAGTATTCAGACATTCTTAAAGGTGAAAAGAATAGAACAGTGAACTCCTAAATTCCATCATAAGGATTCAACAATTATCAAGATCCTGTCACATTTGCTTTATGTACCACGTTCTGTTTTCCTCTGCGTCAGCACTTTAGATCAAATTGCAGGCTTTATATCATTTCACCCCTATATGAGTATATCTGAACACATACCTCTAAAAAAACTAGACATTGCTTATGTAACTGCAATGCCATTTTTACACCTGATTTAAAAAAAAATCAACTGTTCCTGTTATTATCTAATACCCAGCCCAAATCAAATTTGATGATCTAAAAGGCATCAAAATACATACAACTCAGAATATATACAAAATCTACACATGACATTTGCTTGTACAGCTTTTAAGTTTCTTATGTCAGAGCAGTCCCCCTGCCCTTTTCATTTTTCTGACATTGCCTTCTTGCAGAAGCTGGAGCAATTTTCACGTAAAATGTGGATTTTTCTGCTTTCTGTGGTGTCACTTAACTTGTTCCTTTCTCTCCCATATTTCCTGTAAATTGGGGTTGGATCTAGAGGCTTGTTTATACTCAGGTTCATTTTGGGGGAAAGAAAACTTCCTAGAAAGTAATGTGTTTTGGCAGCACACCAGAAGACTGACAATGGTTCATTGTCCCAGTTTTTGTACTGTGACTGATCAGTGGATTCAGGTGGCAACATGTCCCTGTAATTGTAAAGTTTCACGTTAAACTTTTATGGTTTCCATATTTCATGTGCTATTGTATTCATTTGCTATTATTTCATCAGGGGTTGTAAAGTAGTAATTTTCTAATTCAATCATTCCTTCCACATTTGTTAGCTAGAATTCTTTCCTTCATGAATGTGTTTGACAAGAAAAGCAGGACAAATGCTTAATTCTTTCTATTTAAAGATGGGTTTTCAGGGGTTCCGATGGACTTAACTTTTTTCTTGAGAATCATTATGAACTTGTGGATCTTTTAAAAACACAGTCCATATGTTTCAATCAATTTCATTCATTTTTATTCTTTTTTAATGCTCCAATTTTTCCATTTTTTTCACCAGTCAGAGCTCCTTCATGCGATTCTTCTGTACTTTTGGCATTAAGCTAGTAGTCTTGGAGAAAGCATTCTGGTAAACTATGATCTCCAGGCTCTTCCTATACATTTTATGCCCTAGATCTGGAATCAGCCATTTCTCTAAGGAATACCTTGATCTTTTTAGTATGAAAAATGGATTTAGAGACAACACTGTTAGTGCTAAGTGTATTATGTCCCTTGATCTTTACAAGAACCCTGTGAGATATTACTGTCCCAATTTTCTAGATGAGGAAAAGTTGAACAGCTTTCTCAAGGTTATATAACATAAAAAGCAGAGCTAGACTGAGTGAGGTCTTTGGACGCCTAGATAATGTTTCTTCCATTTTATTGTGCCTCTTGGTATGAGCTCATTACTTTTCAGTTCACAGACAGATTGCTAAACATACCTGACATCCTAGCTTCTGAGATGATACTTAAAAGCAGGTGCTACTATCTGCCTTGCTTTCCTACCCAAGGACTCTGAATTAATGCCAATGAATCACTGTGATAACATTTACAAAATTTTTGTTATATTTTTAAATATTTATCTTAAATTGGGTATGGGGGTGACTCAGCGCCGGGATCCTGCCGGCTACTCTCTCAATTCTCTCCCCAAAGCCTCCTCCCCAAGTCTCTCCTCAGGTGTCTCTAGCCCATTGCCCCTGCTTTTGATGGGGCTCAGGGCATGTCAGTCAAAGAAGATCCATGTCGATTTAAAATGGAAACTTCAGAGCAGTGTACCTACGGGCAGAAAACTGGAGGCATTCTTCTAGGAAGAGCAGATGGAGTAGGCAAACCTTTAGGTACCGCATTAGCCTGGAATTGGACTGGAAATGGCATGAGAGTGGAATCTCATCTTGGGATTTTAAGAAATGAAATAACCTATTTTCCAGAAATAGAAGGATGTTGCATGAGGATGCTCTTTATAGATGTTTGATTACTAATGATATGAAGATGTAAAAAACAAAATGCATTTTAATGCTACTGGAAGTAAATTATTTTAAACACACACATGAAAAATTATATTTTATTGATTATGCTGTTACAATTTTCCCAATTTTCCCCCTTCCCCCTCCACCAAGCACCCACCCACTCCCTCAGGTAATCCCCGCTCCTTTGTTGATGTCCATGGGTCATGTGTAAAAGTTCTTTGGCTATGCCTTTTCCTGTACTGTACTCTACATCCCCATGGCTAGTCTGTGACTACCAATTTGTACTTCTTAATCCCCTCATCTCTTTACCCATTCTCCCATGCCCCTCCCATCTGGCAACCATCAAAATGCTCTCAGTAGCCAAGATTCTGTCTCTGTTCTCATTTGCCAAGTTTTTCAATTGTTGATAGGTATGTTTATTGTCATTTTATTGTTCATGATTTTGATCTTTTTCTTAAATAAGTCCCTTTAACATTTTATATACTAATAGTTTGTTGATG